CGATGCAAAATATCGCTGGTCAGTTGGACCATGGTCACAGGTTGGGTTCCATTCGTCGCAAGTAATTATTTGCTTTATAATAATCTCGATCATTTTTTCACCATTTATCATTAGATTACATTTTCTAAATATTGTAGCACTGCTTTTCTTATTAAATTTGTTCGTAGTAAGAGATTCGTCTGCACCCACATCAATAGCGTTTGTAACAGGTTCAGATGGTAACTGGATTGCTGGTGTGTCATAGGTACAGTGACCAAACCAGATGTCGCAAACATAGCCGCACATTATGTTTCCAAGCCAAAAGTGATAAAAATTTTTTTAAAAAGGAGCGAGAAATACGAGGCTTCGAAACTAGTGAATAAATAAAACTGGATAAATGATTTCTTTGCTTTGCAGTTGCCACAGTTAAATAATTGGCTAGCGCACGGGCTGCCCGTGCGAAGATGCGTTTTTTTGCATAGTTCCCCGCGGTTTTTTTCGCCACCGGCACCGCTTTTTCCGGCAGGTGCTTCTAGCTAAGAAAATTAAGACTGGCCGCCAAACTTTCTAAGCTCCTGAGTTAGCAACTTACCCGAAAAAAATTTGACAGGCCCATTTGTGGTTACCACGTGTATCCGGAGTCTGGTTTGAGCTCAGTGAGACTTAGATGAACAGGGAATATCCTCTAAAAATTACAATCCTTTAGCCTTTCAAATTTCCGAGTTATAAACCTAACCAAAAAAAACTTTGGCGGGCCTGTGCGTGGGTATCACGCACACCCAAGGGCCGGGTTTGAGCACATTAATATCCACTTGGACGGGAAACATCCCCTTAAGATTTCAGCGCCCTCTCTAGAATCTTCGAGTTATGAACTTACCGGAAAAAGAATTTTGGCGAACCCGTACGGGGTACCACGTGGGTGATAGCGCCTATTTTGGAGATTGGGGCCCGTACGTGCATGTAGATTAAGTTCCTCAATTTTCAAGCCGGCAGTTTTTATAGGTCTTAAGATGCAAGTGCGTGACAGACGCACACACAGACACACGGGCACACAGACAGCCCCTCGTCAATATGCGTTTTTGCATTGCATAGCTGCAAAAAATGCGTAAAAATGTAAATAATTTTTTATCAAAAATTTGCAGTGTTCGGCGAAATGCGGTGCTGGATTTCGGCGACGTCGTGTACGCTGTCTAGATAGGGATGGCGTACGAGTTTCCAGAAATCTGTGTGATCAAAGTCCGGAAAGGCCGAAAAGGAGGGAGAGTTGTTTCCTACGGAACTGTAAGCACTGACTGTTATTTTTGTTCCACACACTATGAAATAGTACTGGTATTCCACACATACCTGCTGGCTTTGCTACATTTAAACATTATTACGTTTTCAGTTTGATCGATCTCGAGTTCGCCCTATCCAGTTAACCCATTCTAAGCAGTACATTTTTCCATCTCACTGGCTACATTCTCAGTTTTTCTTTGAGTTGAAAACAGCGAGGATGCTAACGGATAAATATTTTGTCCAAATGTTATCACTTGTTTTGGCCGCATGACTTACGCTACTTTCCTTTCTGGCACATATTGCCTTAATAGCGTTTAGCTTGCGAGCCGGTACTGCAGCATAGCCTTTGTAGAAGAATTTATTAATGGGATTACGTGGAAACTGATAAAAAAGCAAATATGGGCAGTGCAACACGTATATCAGTTTCTTCCGCTCAGTTTTTATGCGTTTTTGCTGTGCAGCGCTATAGATAGCGCTGCTACAGCCAGCAAAAACGCATACTGTCGAGAGGCTGTGTATGTGCGTGTTCAAAAGTGAGTGCATTTTATCATTCGCTTTCATCTCAGCAACCAGGAAAGCTGGGAGGCTGAAACTTTGGATATGCATTCCTACCCCATGTGTCATCTCCTCGTTTTAAGATCTTTCCCCGTATGGGCCTGGACCCCGCGTACGGGGCCCCGAATGAAATATGTTGCGGGAGACGATTTCGCGAACCAGGCAAAGTAGAAAGCTGGAACTTTGCTAAAGATCTTAAACTCAGCTGTCGGGCCCCCTAACCATAGCCTCAAGGAACTCCTCAACCCAAAATTCGTTCGCAACTCGGACCTGAACTGCAATCGTATATGTAAATGAACATGGATTTTTTGACAAACGACCGTTCGAGCAATAATTCCAATTTTTAATGAACTGGAAATTTGCATTTTTTCAAAAAATTTGCATTTGTCATTTTTTCACAAAGCGAGCATTTACGAAAAAAAATGACCGTACTTCACGCAAAAAATCGGTAATCATGCACCCGGACGTCCGTGCGGCTCTATAATGCACCACCTTCATCCCAACTGACGCCCTTCCTCCTGCATACCGGAAAGGATTAAAGCACGGCCAATATGAGCCCAAGTGTTAGGCTACAGCGTAAGGATCACTCCTGCTAATAGCGATCTGCGAGTTTAATGCAAAAAGGCATGATCGCTCCGAAGAGCCTGCTGCGTTCCAGTCTGGGTTACATCGATCAAAAGAGGTGTGAGGCAAATGTACCTAAGCTTCTCTTAGATAGTCTCGAGATGGTAATTCGCAAAATGGATTGATAAGACAGTTTAAATATCATTTGCGAGTAGTTATTAACGCTGAACCGATAGTTTTCATTGCAAACAACACTCGCGAATTGGACGAGTGCTAAGGGATTTCAGCATAAAAAGGGACTGAGTTTGGAAATTAGTGCATCGAGGAGAAAAGTGATGCAAAGTGTCGACATGTCCTCGGCCAAATTGCAGTTTAATAGTGTTTACATAAAAGAACTGGACAGTCACGTCTGTCGTAACTAAGACGAAAATGTGCGCCATATTTTCCAGCCGGACAGGACTGCTATTTGGCGCACGGTATTGTCAGCGCTGTCAGACTGACGAGTCGGAAGGACCTCGCCATCTCTCCAGTACCATTCTGCTGAAGGAATTAACGTGGAATGCGAGACGTGGTCACTGACGAAAACAGTAAGCAAGTGTTGGCTGTAACAAAGCGAGCGATGCAGCGGATATTGCTTTAAGTGTCCCTTCGTGGTTATATAA